TGTTGGGGGCTGAGCCGAATGTCGTCATCATCGGACCAGTACCTCTATTGGCCCGCGCTGCCAACCCTACTAGCCAGATCAGCTGCTCCAGATAAAACAGCTCTGAGAGGCAAGGGCGCCAACCGTCCAGAACGCTCACCTGCAAGAATCCAGGGCCCCAGGAAAAAAAAAACCACGCCGACTGCCCGGCAACCTGAGTAAACTCAGACTCAAAGCACAGAGGGGAGCCAGACCAGCAGCAAGCCGTCTTGCCCGCGGTAGCTTGCTTTGACAGCTCCAGATCGGGCCGAGCCTCGCCTGAGAAGCGTGCCCCCCCACCTCATCTGCGCCAGCTTCGCCCAAGCGCTGTGCCCCAGCTATGCAGCGAACGTTCGGGGTGAACGGCCCAGACGCGCAGGTCCCATCCCGAAGAGCCTGACGCGAAGCGCCATCGCAGGAAATGACCACTCACTGACACAGAGGGAGTGACCCGAGACGCGACGCGTGCGGGGAGTGCCGTGTAGGTCTCGTTGCTGGCAGGTCACATCGATGATTGTCTCTATCTAAGGAGAGGTGAAACAAGAGAGGAGAAAGACGAGTGAGGAACGTCCGCACGCCGATGCGGCAACGTACGGAAGTCAGACGTGCCTCGAAGGCTTGCAAGTGGTGGGGGTAGGAAGGATACAAATAAAGACGCATAACGCGGAGAGCGGCACGGTGGCTCTACAACCGGTATCTAGCACTGCTGAGCGAGGGGGCGAGTGCGGAGGCATGAGTTCGAAACACGGAGAAGACCAGAGGACTGCGGCCTGCTATAAAAAACAGAGAATAATTTAATGCCAATCAAAGGCGATAGATAGAGAGAGACATAGCGGGCCTGCGCGGGGTGGCCATGCCTACTCCGCTGCACAGGACTCGGAGGCGGGGCAGGAGATGGCTCGGAGCGCCAGGAGTGCTGAGTTGCTGGGCGGAGCGGATGGGGCTGGAGCGCGACCGCTAGGGGTCACTCTAGCCGGCAACAACGGGGAGTAGAGCTCCGTGGCTCCAAAAAAGAGCAAATCAAAAAAAAAAAAATCAAAAGTAGTGAAAAGGGGCTACGGGAGGAGCATTTTGTAGCCAGATGGAGGTGACCCCGCACCGGGAGAGTAAAAGCATCGAGCGGACAGCACGAAGCCAGCCACGCGTGCTGATGACAGTGGAACCAGGTGCCCAGGATCAGGTGGAGCAACGCCTGTGTCCGCGAGATCGAAGAAGCTGACCATGCTGCTCAGGAGATGAGACACAAGTTCTGTTGGATACCTGACGGCGCCTGACGACAGAAGCGAGCGAGATAAACAGCTGCTGCAGGGAGGCTGTATGGTAACTCGCGCGGAGTTTAGCCAGGGCCTCCGGAGACAGCATGAGCGCGACACACACATTCTGGGTAAGCGTGTGACGGCCTATGAAGAGCATAGCCAGGAGTGCATGAGAGGAAGATATGAGGAACTAGGGGATAAAAAAAGAGACGCTGCGAGGTGGCGCGACGTTAGACTACGTGGTTCGTGTCAGAACTGTGGTAGTAAGAAACGCCGAGTGCTCAGGGTAACAAATGTGTAGTAGTTTTCGCGCAAGGCGCATTCGGAGCGCGCAGACAGCAGGTTGCTGCAGGACCCACATGGATGGGTCGATGCTGGTAGCTGGAGAGTCACGCGTTCCGGCCGTCCGTGGCTGCTTCCCAAGGGGCGTCAGGGTCTGAGAGCCAAAACACAGCTCCGGCGTCAGACAGTTCTAAGAGTGAGCGGGGGGCGAGTGAGGAAGGCACCGGAGATAGCCTGCGAGATGAGCGCCACGCGCCACGGCGGGTGCGAGGGTCGCCGCAGCGACGAGGATGCCACCGGATAGCCCAGAGAGACGAGCGCCACGGCCGCTCCCGCCGCGGGCCTACGGAGAGAAAGGAAGGACCAACCCCCCGCCGGAACCGGAAACACCCGCCCGCCCGGGCAAAATGGCGACCCCCACGAGCCGTTTCCGCTCAAGATGGCGGCGCCCTGCGGTTTACGGGGAGAGGTGAGAGCGCCCGACGCCGTACAAGCACGTTGGGAAACGAATACACTCAGGTGTGTGAAAACGCGCCTCAGGCGATGATTTAGAGTGGGATACCGAAGAGGTGAGCCAGGTGAAGCGCGCACTCCCGCGGGGACCGCCGAGCCGCGTCCCCGGCCCCGAGAGGCGCCGCCTCTTCCGCTCGGTGCTCGCGGGCGACGTTGGTTTTCAGTTCGCTACTGCGAGCGGGGGCGGGCCATTTTAAATAGACAGAGTGAGGCTGTCTCAAGATAAATAAATATGCGGCATTAAAGTTTTTAAAAGAAACTTTTATTTTTTTTTGAGACAGAGTCTCGCTTTGTCGCCCAGGCGTCAGCCTCGCTCACAGCAACCTGGGCTCAAGCGATCCTCCTGCCTCGGCCTCCCGAGTAGCTGGGACTACAGGCATGCGCCTCCATGCCCGGCTAGTTTTTTCTACATATTTTTAGCTGGCCAATTAATTTCTTTCTATTTATAGTAGAGACGGGGTTTCGCTCTTGCTCAGGCTGGTCTCGAACTCCAGACCTCGAGCAATCCTCCCGCCTCGGCCTCCCAGAGTGCCGGGATGACAGGCGCGAGCCGCCGCGCCCCGCCTAAAATTTTTAGAAGAAACTCCAAAGCGGGGAGCGTGGGAACTGCGGACCGCGATCTCCCACGTCTCCGCGTGCGGAGGGCGCTCTTCCCGCGGGAGGTCCGCGTCCCCGCGCGCTCCGAGTCCCCAGAGGGAGCCGGTCCGGCCAGCACTGAGGCAGGAGGGAGTGACCTTGTAGGAACTGAGTGAGAATCTGGAAGCGGACAGCGTCAGGCCCGGGAACTGCGCGGCCGCAGCGGTCGGGGCTACCCCGCCACTGTGGCCCCTGAGGGAGCCACGAAGGGTCGACCGCCTTAAGCGCCCTTTCCGGAAGCGAGAGGCTGGCCCCGCCCCCCGCCGGCGGATGCGGCTCCCCGGCGTCGCGAGACCGGGGCCTCGCGCGATGCCTCCGTCCGCCGGCCGGGACTGTCCCGGGGCCCGCCCCTCACCCCGAGAGGGACGCTCGTGCCCGCGGCCCTCAGTGGCCCGGGGAGAAGGGGAAAGGGACTGTGTGTGGTGGGCTTTCCCTTCGGAGTTTCCCGCCGACACCCTCCGCGCGCCCGGAGGGGATGCCCGCGGGCCGCAGCGGCCGCGGAAGGACAGGCCTGGGCGGCCTCGGGTGAGGCCTGGGCCGGAGCGCCGCCTCCCCGCTGGGCGCCGGCTGGCGTGTCATCACCGCTCCGCCCGCCCCCGGCCCGCAGACGCCCAGCCACACTGCGGGGAGGCCGGCAGGAAGCCCACACGCAGGGGTCGGCCAGGCCCGGCCACGCGTGCGGCACGCGCAACCCCCAGCGCCCAACCCGTTCCCCGCGCCCCGGCCCCGCACTACCTCGAGAAGCGGACAGTATCATGTCCGGGAACTGCGGGGTCGTAAGCGATCTGGGTGACCAGCCGTTGTGGCCCTTGAGGGTGCCACGAAGGTCATCTGCTCAGTCATGGCGGGCTTGAGCCCAGGAGTCTGAGGTTGCTGTGAGCTCACAGCAACTCACTCTAGCCTGGGCAACAAAGTGAGACTCTGTCTCCAAAAAAAAAAAAAGACACATAAAAGACAACAGGAGGCTACAATAGCATTTATTAGGCCAGGGCTGAGTGACCCCCTACCCGGAATAAAATCACAGGTACAGCTAAGCCACACCCTGATAATTTAACGCAGGCGCCCCAGATCATGGACAACCTTTTCCTGAGATTCAGAGGAACTGAACCATCTTTTTCTCAGAATTCAGAAACACAGCTGTTTTGCTGTTGATTACCTACGGGCCTCCTGTGACGACAGAAAATCGACAATTAACACAACTGCCATGTGAGGCTGTATTTAACTCGGGGCTAGTTTTAAGCCCAGGGCCTCGTGAGAAGCATAGGCGACACACACATTTCTTAACTTTACTCCTGTGAACTATATTTCCCAAGTTGCATAGAAAATAATAATAAATAAAAAAAAAAAGCAACCGATTTTCCGTCACGTTAGAAACTACTGTCTCGTTTTCAAAGTTTTTATAATAAAACCCCATGGCCTCAGGGTGAACAAATTTTTTTATTTTTATTTTTTTTTTTTTGCAACGTGGCAGTCAGTGCTGCAGAAGCCACTTTCTGCAGGACCACAGGACTGGATGCTTCGGCTGAAGGTGACACGTGTCGCGCGCTCCAGCTTCAGGGCTGAGAGCCAAACACGACCTCCTGGCGTCAGACAATTCTAAATAGCGTGGGGGCGAACGGAAGGCACGAGAAGCCTCCGAACGCACTCGCGCACACGGGGGACGAGGGTGCAAAGGACGGGCCAGGAGGGCACGAGTCGGGAGGCGCCCGGGGCCACCCCCGTCCCACCGGGCCGGGAACAGGGCGGCAGCTCAGAAACAGCCTCTGGATTTCAGCACGGGCTCTCAGATGGCATGTTGGG